AGGAACCAGAAGTGGGCCTGGCATGGTACCCTAGTGGCTGAAGTCTTCGCCTTGCACAGTCCAGGAACTCATATGGACACTGGTTCGTATCCTGACCACCCCGCTTCCCACCCAGCTCCTTGCTTGTGGCCTGGGAAAGCAGTCAAGGACGGCCAAAGCCTTGGGACCCTGCCCCTGCATGAAAGACCTGGAAGAGATTCCGGGCTCCTGGTTTAGGATCAGTACAGCTCTGGCCGTTGTGGCCGCTTGGGGAGTGAATCAATGGATGGAAGATCTTTCTCTCTGTCTCTCCTTCTTTCTGCATATCTGACTTTCCAATAAAAGTAATTTTTTTAAAGAAGGAACCAGAAGCTAGAGGAGAACATAATTTAAGAGTATCTGTTTTGTCAGTTCCTGCTTACTAGGTGTCCCTGTGCACTTGTTCTCTTTCCCATGCGTCCTCAATTGAAAAGGAAACTATATGTCACTGAAATTACAGCACCCAGAGTAGAACAAATCGATTTAAGCAGGTTCCCTTGCCTGGGTTTGGATGTTATTTGCTCCTGCCAAAATGCATGGTGATGCTTAGCCTCTAACGTAACAATGTGGAAAGGTGGTATGACAGCTATGAGGGGATTGTGAGAAGTGATTGGGTCATGAGCACTCTCGGGAAGGGATTGATGCTGTTCTCTGGCAGTAGGATAGGTCTCACAGGACTCTGGGTTATTGTGGGATAGCCAGTCTGGCCTCTCCCCACTCTCCTGCTCCCTCACTGCATGCAATTGTTCTATACCCTGCATACCTGCTCTTGCCATGTGATGCCTTCTGCCATAATATGATACATGACACTGGACCTAGGCAGTTTGGACTTCTGCACCAGAATTCTGATAGAAATAAGCCCCTTCTCCTTGTACATTACCCAGTGCTTGGTATTTTATTACAGTAGTGCAAAGTTGGATCAAGACATCCTCTTGAAGTGCCTTATCCGTGCATATTGCTGAATCATCAAGACACTTCAGCTCCCCTCCCAGAGGTGTTAGTGAAATATGTGATTGTATACATCCTTCTTCTCCAGTATGGCTAGCTAGTGGTTGAATAACTCATTCTAGCACTCCCCTCATTCAAATGCCCACCAGTATTACCAATTAAAGTCTGATATGTGAGCTTGTTTATGGACTCTTATCTCTCTGGTCTGATTTATGCACCACAACCAGTATATTATTTTTTCTTTTAAAGATTTGTTTATTTTTATTGGAAAGGCAGATTTGCGGAGAGAAGGAGAGACAGAGAAAGATCTTCTGTCCATTGGTTCATTTCCCAAATGGCTGCAGTGGCTGAGCTGAGCTGATCTGAAGCCAGGAGCCAAGAGTCAGGAGCATCTCCCAGGTCTCCCATGCAGTGCAGGGTCCCAAGGCTTTTGGCCATACTCAACTGCTTTCCCAGGCCACAAGCAGGGAGCTGGATGGGAAGTGGAGCAGCCAGGAAATGAACTGGCACCCATATGAGATCCTCTTGTTGGTAAGGCAAGGATTTAGCTACTGGGTCATAGTGCTGGGCCCATATATTATTTTTTAACTCCAAGATTATAATGCATTTTAAGTTGCTAGGCTTGGTTGGTATATTGTCACTATTCTTTTCTCTAAATAGCTTTGTTCTTTTTGTTTGTTTGTTTGTTTGTTTTCCAGTGTTGAAATTTCCTATGCATTCCAGTATATTCTGGCTAGTTTCTATTCCATTCTTTGCAGAATCCATCTGCTGTTCCAGCCTCCACATATACATATGCAGCCTTTGTTAAAAGGCCTTTGAGTATTGTTTTAGCCATTGCTTCACAGATCCTAACTTACATTTTACTCACCTTAATCCTTCAAAGAATATAGATAAATCACAGCCAGTTGGAAATATAACTGTTGACACAATATGATCCTCCCCAACAGTCAGACTGTTACTTCCTTATTTGCTCACCTTAATTTGGTAGGACTGTAATGTGTAATTTTGTTCAAGATAACACAGGAGCTACTTTTTTTTTTTTTTCACTCTTGCCCCGACCTTTCCTCCCAAGCCCTCCTGGCTCAAATCTGTACCTCACTCGGTTGTTCTTGTATTTACTCAATACTTTTGGGTCTTCAGAGACCGTCCCTTTCCCTCAAGTCCATGTAGCAAATGTGTACAAAGTTCATATGCTCCATTTGCCAGATAGGCAATGTGTTAGTGACTTGGCTTTTTAACCTCTCTGTTCTCCTTCCCAACAGATTGTCAGGCCAAGTGTATCATCCCTTTTTGAGCCCCCCTCTTCCCTTGTCCCTGTGGCACTGGGGAAAACAAAGATCAGCTGAATCCTCACAGGAACCACCAACATTTTGAACTCTGGTGTATTATCTAAATTGAAGACCGAGAAAAGGTGAGGTTGCAGAAAGCACGTTGGCAGCCCAGGGACCCCCTCTGAGAGTTTTCTTCACAAGGGCAGTTCTCTGCTAGAACATTGAGCAAGTAGTGTTAGAGGCTCTCTTGTGTGAGCCACGTGATCACCATCCTCCTGCTTGATTATGTTCTTAAAACATGCCCTGGGTATCTTATGAATTAGAATTTCTGCAGTAAAGATTGTAACATCCTTTAGGTCAAAGGGCTCTGGCTGGTGAGTCCTTGCAATCCTAGACATGCTGGTAGAAGTACTGCCCAGCTCACCCATCTCCAGTTGATGTGTTTATCGCTGAGAGGTAGACGGCAAAGTATCACTTGGACCTAGCCATGCCACTGGAGAAAGCCCAATTTATATTAAAACTCTCCATGGTTAACTTGGTCTTCAATGAGCAACCCCTGGTACCATCTCTCTTCCTCTTATCCCAGGAAAGCCAGGACAGAGGCCAAAGTGAGCAGCCTGGGTCTTCCATTTTGCAGGTTTTACTGAAGCTGGCTTCTTTGAGTTGTTTCTCTGACTTCTGTGTGAAGTTGAAATGGAGAGTGACTTTTATGGCTTCAATCAACACCAGGGGGCAGGAGAGAAAGCAAAGTGAATGGAAACAAGTACAGAACAATGGTGTAAATTATGGCTGAATTCTTGAAGTTCTTGGTGCCTGGCAGGATAGGGTATCCAATATAGCTGAAACTGCAAATTTAAAAATCGCATAAAAATTATTTCTTAGAGAAGTTGTCCATGTTCATTGCAGATGTTTTTTAAAATGCAGAGATGATAAGTAACAAAGACATTTTTAGTTACTCATAAGATCAGCACTCCAGTAAAAGCACAGTTAACCTGTTGGTGAGGCCCGCTTTATTTGCTCTGCATGAACATCTTTACCTAAAAATGAGACAATGAAAATTTCTTGAAGTTTTATGTTGCCCAGTTGATTCTGTGATATTTAGTTCAACATATGATTATGAGCAGAGGTAAGGAAAGGATTTCTCAAATATTCAGCTTTGGTTCTTACAAGGCCTTCACAAAGTTTAGCTTCTTTAACTTTTAGGTTCCTCATCTGTGAAATGGGTTGATAACCAGTATTGCCTACAGCACCTCCCACCTCCATGGTAATTAAAGGAAGCCAGTCTGTTGCCATGATGATTGTTCTGGCATAAGCAGGCTCTACCTGTGAGATTCTAGCTGGATCTCTTGACTTCTCACTGTCTTAATTTTCTTTTCTCTAAAATGGGATCAGCAATAGGCCACAGTAACTGGGGTTGTTGTGGGAGGCAAACAGGCTCAAAGTCTGGATTTTAAAGATGCTGCAAGCAGAAGCTATTAGCATTAATTTCACCTGGGCACCGGTGCTCTGAGGTGACAGCGAAAACTCAGCCTGAGGGATCACATACTGACTTGCGAAAGGACGTAGAGGAGCACATGAACCAGCACTGCTGAGTTGGTAGTTTTCTCTAATCCTCAGAACCATTCTCCCACCCCCATCTCCCACAGGAGGGACTTGAGAGCAGAACCTGACTAGATGTACATAGCTAGTTGTGTCAGACCCAGGGACTGCAGCCTGTCAGCCAGTTTGAGCTAAGCTAGCAGACTAGGACACCTGCCCCTCAGTGGCAGGTCCCTGTGAAAAATAAAACCCAGGTGTGAAGTTTCTCTCCCAATTTCTTCTTCCTTGCTCTAATAATTCAGCTTTTAATGGTTCCACTCTTGGCCGTTATTTAAAATACACTGTGATTTTTGTGTTTTAATTGACTGCTGGATATCTAAGCATAGCAGAAGTAGGATGCAGGTTTTATAAGAGCAATTTATACTTAAGTGCAGGGTTGGGATGAATGGTCTAAAACTACTCCCAAGCTACACTGCATCACTGCAAAGGACATCACAACTTAGTTCAGGGATTTGGGTTCCCAACTGGCTTCGTTTGGTCACATGGGACATTTCATTTCTGTCTTTAGTTTTCTCTGCGAGGGAGAGAACTGAAGAATAAGCTGAAACATAAATTGCCTTTCCATCCAAGGCTGCTTTTACAGGATCTGCGTGTTGGGAGAAGTTGGGGATTCCTGGCACCCATTGTGTTGCATTTATGGATATTCACCCTGAGCGAAATGCACGCAGCCAAACCTCTCCCAATGCAGACCAAGATCAGGGAACACAACAAGCAATGAACACAGAAGACATTCAACACATGGGGATCCACCGGCAACTTGGTGCGCACTAATCCTCAGACATTCCCCAGGCGCTGGCCCGGGCGAGCTGGGTGCGGCCTCCCGGGCTCTGTGCGTTACGTGCCTGCTCGCCCCTCCGCCCGGGGCTCGTGTTACGCTGCTCAGGCCAGCTGGCCCCGGAGTCCCCCCAAATCCCTCGGGGCTCCCAGCTGGTGCTGGGCGCATCCAGCCCCGCTGTGATCACGTCCTTGTGGGGCGAGGGCTCGAGCTGCTGCTGGGAGCTGGTTGGTCACGCCAGCGGGCCCGCTACCCACTGATTGGTCCGAGGGATCAGTTCACGTGGTTCCGAGCAGATAAGCGGTTTCTCCCGTGCTTGACCCGCAGTCTGCGGGAGCGACCAGGGGAGGTGCACTGCCCGGAGCTGCGGGGCGCACTAGGCTCAGGCAGCGGGGTACCGACTCTCACGGTCAGCCCCGCCTCTCTGCCTAATGAGCTGCACCAGGTAGGTTGGCTGCAACTTTGTATCCCCAAACCAGGCGGAATGCGCATTTGCATGCAAATTGGGGTGGCGAGAGGGCATTTTCATTCTGTAGTTTCTGCAGATTGAGACCCCAGAAGGCAAGCTGACAGGTTGCTAAATTGAATCCGGCACCCAGAGAAATTTGCGAAGTATTTCCTAAGCAGAGTGTATTTTGGCAGTCAGCATCCTCAACCAGAAACTGGTTTAACCTGAGTCAACTCTAGTTAATTTTCCTCATTGATGCAACTGTTATCTTTTGGTCCCGCCAGCCGATCCCAAGGACGGGAGCAGCTGAACTCGGGAGAACAGCACTCTAATCTTGCTAGTCAAGCAGTTTAGTTTGGGGCAGACACTGGGACGTTGTTCACATTTAGTTATTGCCCTCCACTCTCATCATTATTTGCCATAGCAAACTCGGTCTCCGAGGTTGAACAGACCATTATTTTTAACTCCTGAGCACGACTTAAAATTCCAACGAAATAGGACAATACTAAAACCATCTTTCTATATATACAAAAGAAAAAAAAGCAACAAACAAACAAAAAACCCTCAACCTCCCATAAACTACTTTTAGTAGCTTGACCAGACATAACTTAGCACAAGACTTCTTGAAAAAAAATCTGGTCTGTTCACCATTGCTAGACTGAGAGTTATAGCTTAGAGGCTTTTTTTTTTTTTTTTTTAAGTTTTCAGGTCACCCAGAAAAACCTCAGAGCTAATAAAGTAAGCTTTGTGAATATTCTTTATTATTCAGTTTGTGGAATGAGCACTTACCTATATGCTTAGAGTTCTAAAGAGTTACTGAAGTCAGGCTTGGAAATACCATATGCCATATACCCCCCATCTATCTGAATCTGTAAGGGGAAAATCCTAATTCCATATCCTTGTCCATATGTGATATGGGTTAAAGGCCAGAAGTCTTTTTGAAGAATACTTTTTGATTTATTGCTGAGCATAGTTATGCTTAAATTTTTCAATTTTTTTTTTAAAAAATCTTCCCACTTATAAATGTTCATCATCAAGACATTAGAAAATACCTTAAAAAATGTATGGACAAAAATAGTTGTATAATATAGTCATCCAGAGATAATTGTTAACTTTTTGCTCTATTTCCTATGAAATTTTAAAATATTTGTGAATTCTCAGGCAATTCGCTGTTTTCATTTCAGTGTGGACCCACCATGGTCATCTTTCTATATTAGCTATAGATAATGCAAACTTTTTCTTTAAATGCATGAGCTGCTGACTTGTTCCAGTGAGTTACTTCTCAAACCCAAGGAAGAACATGAGAAAGTGCAAAGACAACTCTCTGCTTTCAATTCTTTCTAACATTCTCACTCTCAAAACCTTTGCATAAAAACTTTACAACTGGATTACCTTTCCAAAGCAGTGGCATCCATTTAACAGCAAAATAAGCAAAGGGAGACTGGATCTCTGGATTCCAGACTTATCTTGTCACTGAAGTCATCTGGAAAGCTTTAAGAACGATGTGCCGCCTGTGCTCGGTCCACAGAGGTTCTGCCTCAGTGGCTTTAAATCTTAAGAACCTGAATTCAGAAAGAGAGAAAACCATTTTTCCAAGGTTGTAGTGGGCTGAGAACCATTTTGAAGCTCATGACTCCCCTGAAGAGTGTTCAACCAGCAGTGGAGGTGCACATAGGATACAGATGGGACCACCCAACACTGCTGTTTCTTACTACATGAATAGCACCTGTTTGATGCTTCTTGCATGGATGGAATTCAGTCAGTGTAAAAATAGTCCGTATGCATTCAAAACCCAGTGCACATGGTGACCCCTCTTCCTTTTCCATTCCAGAATGATCCAGGTCTTAGATCCACGCCCTTTGACAAGTTCAGTCATGCCAGTGGATGTGGCCATGAGACTTTGCTTGGCTCATTCACCCCCTCTGAAGAGTTTCCTGGGCCCTTATAATGATTTTCAACGAAGAAATTTGGTGAATAAGCTAAAGCCTCTGAAACCATGTCTCAACATAAAGCATGAAACCAAATCACAGAACGACTGGAAGCGCTCACACAACCAAGCCAAGAAGCGGGTTGTGTTTGCGGATTCCAAGGGCCTCTCTCTCACTGCCATCCATGTCTTCTCTGATCTCCCAGAAGAACCGGCGTGGGACCTCCAGTTTGACCTTTTGGATCTTAATGATATCTCCTCTGGCTTAAAACTCCATGAGGAGAAAAATTTGATTTTAGATTTCCCACAGCCTTCCACTGACTACTTAAGTTTCCGGAACCACTTTCAAAAGAACTTTGTCTGCCTGGAGAGCTGCTCTTTGCAAGAGCGGACAGTGACTGGGACTGTGAAGGTAAAAAACTTGAGCTTTGAGAAGAAGGTTCAAATCCGAATAACATTCAACACTTGGAAGAGCTACACTGATGTGGACTGTGTCTACATGAAAAATGTGTATGGTAGCTCAGATAGTGACACCTTCTCATTTGCCGTTGACTTACCTGCTGTCATTCCAACTGAGGAGAAAATTGAGTTCTGCATTTCCTACCACGCCAATGGACAGGTGTTCTGGGACAACAACGAGGGTCAGAATTACAGAATTGTGCATGTACAATGGAAACCTGATGGGGTGCAGGCACAGATAGCGCCTCAAGACTGTGCATTTCACCAGGCATCCCCGAAGACCGAGCTAGAGCCAACAATCTTTGGCAGTCCGAGGCTGGCTAGTGGAATATTTCCAGAATGGCAGAGCTGGGGAAGAATGGAGAACTTGGCTTCTTATCGATGAATTTAGCAACTGGCCTTGACCTTTCATATTCCCCCTGCAATTCTGGGTCTGTAATGCTCAATTAGATGTGAGCTTTGGAGATCTGGCTATAGAAAAGATAGCCACTGGGAAGTTAGTGTTGGGGTGTATATTTGCTTCAGAAGATCAAGTAGCAGCCCAGGAACTTTTTTTTATTAGAGTAATGCTTTTTCATTGCCCTTGCTTCTTCCCTCTTGATTCACTAACTTTCGGATTGGACAAGGAAAAGTTGGGGAAGGTGATGGTGACAGGAAGCTGAGTTAATGGTATGAGGAATGTGTGAGATATGTGCATAGTGTGTCTGAGTCACATCAGAGTAGGAGTGGGAGCTCTGATCCTTAATTGTTGGTGAGAAAGTGTAAGGTTCTTTTGTGTTTTAAAGTTGGTTTTAGAGTCCTCTCTGGGGGAAATAATTTGTTGAAGGGAAGAAGACCCATCCTATATAGTCTTGCAAGAAAACCCAAATAAATTTTAAAGGTTTTAGGGGCAGATAAAAATATAATTAAAGCATCAAGATCTCAAATGAAACCTTCCTGTTTAATCTGGACCTTTCAAAATCCAATCCATGATTTGAAGAAAGTTGAAGCGAATCTGGCCTTGTTGTTTCAATATTATGAGTAGCTTTGTGGTCAAGGTAAAATGTTTGGATTCTGCCTGTCTAAAAGTATGCCACCATCAGTGGCTAACAGTGTGTACGAACTCTATGTCAAAGTCAAAGATTACTCTTTACAAGTGCCTCAATTAAAACCAGAACACTGTAGATGCCTAACCCAAATATCTGAATGGTCATCTGGTAACTCCTGAGTTTCTGGTCTCCAAAAGAAGCTCCCCACTGTACACTGGAATTCCTCTTGCAATGCTGTCATATTTTTGGGAGTTTTGTCAGTGTGCATTAATTCACATCCTTCATATTGAAGGTGACTCAGTCTTTTCTGCCACACTTTTTTAGATGTAAAATGCAAAGTGAGGACTGACACTAAATGCAAGAATAGAGTATGTCCCACATCTGTCTCTTGATTACTTTTGTCTTGCTATTTTAATTTCCTAGTCAAGTGCCTCTTTTTTTTTTTTTCTAAATGGATATGAACTGTTTTGGATGTATTGTAATAAACCTGTTTTCATGTGTGTATAACTCTTCTGTAAGACTTTAAGTACAGAAGGCTTAGAGTGCTTGCTTTCATAATTTTACATAACCATTAAGAAGTGTGAAGGAGATGCAGTTAATTTTAACATGTGTGTTCTGCCATGCTAGAAAAGTACTATTGAGTAAACTCCTCTATGACAGTATATGAAGTTTTGGCTGGGTTCCATCATGTTTCTACTGTATAAATATTTCACTCTCCTCTAGATACCCATATTGAGCTTATCATTGGAGAATAAATGTGTTTGGTATTAGACCTGAGAATGTTTTGTTTCTCAAAGCCACAGTGAAAGAAGAGACTGTCAATTGACTGTTTCTTGTTTGGTTTCAGAGCAACTGAGCAGAGTTGGTCGGCTCAGAAGTGAAACTACCTGGTGATACTCACATGGCCTCAGTCTGAATAGGGACCGTATGTGCTCTCTTCCCACTGTTTAAGCTAGAGGTGGGAAGGTCCAGGAAAAGTGACTGCCCCCTTAGTTACTATTCCTCACTCCCACTCTGTTGAGTTAAGGTTATGTTGGAAGCACATCTAGCTTTAAAATGGGGAAGAAGGTCATGTGGGTGGGGGTGATGGGCTTCCACTCCTTGAGGTTCAGCACCTGTCTGAAGGGACAAAGCTTGGAACTACACACAAGGGCATGGGAATGGATAGGGCACATCAGTCCTGGACTGAAAGGAGAAGCATAGCTCTTTGGTGGGACAGGGATCAGGTTCATAAAACCAGGCTGTTGCCCCCAGTGCTGCCTAAAATTCGAGAAAGAACTTCCAGGTGTGAACTTAAAGAGGAATTGATCACCAACCTACTGGGAAAGTCCAATCATGAAGAGTAAACTTAGAACAGCTTCTGTTACACACATGACAGACTACTGGGGTCTAGGCTGTGTTTGGTCACAAATACATTAATTTGACATAAGATTTTTAAAGTCTATTTTTATTTGAAAGGCAGACTTAGAGTGTTAGAGATAATATCTTCTATTTGCTGGCTCATTCCCTGAGTGGCTACTATGGGTTTCCCACATGGGTGCTGGGGTCAAGGACTTGAGCCATCCTCTACTGTTTTCCCAGGCCATAAGAAGGGAGCTGGATCAGAAGTGGAGCAGCTGAGACAAAAACCAGCACCCATTTGCGATGCCAGAACTGCAGGTGGAAGATTAGCCTGTTGAGCTACTTCATTGGCCCCATATGTGTCTCATTTTAGCTAATCCCCAAACTGCAAAACTGGAAATGGAGATTTAGATTTTGATTTCCACTTTCAATGGGAATGTAAAGGTTCTGCTTGAATATGGTCCTTCAACCTGCAAAGGGAAAATCTTTCATCTCCAGGTTCTTCAGTTTTCCAACAACTACTGGTAGCTATGATCTGAACACATCCTCTCTGGGGGACAGGGATCAAATCCAGAGTAGTATCTTGGAACTAGGCAGCTAAAGTTTAGGTAGGCAGGAATTTTTTTACACCCCTGCAAAATATTTGTGTCTGTCAGCTTAATCTACCCACCTTCCCAGGATGCACCTTTTGCATGAATACAAAGACCCCACTCCATTTTAGATCCAGTTTGGGTACCAACCCCTTACCTCATAAAAGGAGGTGGGGTTTGGGGGTGTAAAGGTGTCTTTTGGTCACAGATCATGCTCAAAGGTTATGCTCTCATTTTCTCTTCCTCTTTCTTGAGCAAACTTCTGGCCCATTCGTCATGGGTATTGGGGGAGGAGGCCCACATTCACATGTGAATGCCTCTTTATTCTGTTCAGTAAATCTTGTTCCTAGTTGGGCACATTCCTGATCTTCACTTATTGTTTTTCGTCTATGTGGGAAACAAGAACCCAGGTTGGAAATGAATATGCTCATTACCCACATCAAGACTGGTTCCCCAAGTGGAGTTTTGCAGACCCCTGCCCTCCCAAACCTTTCTATTTTGTGCTAGTGAGCAGACACCAGACTCAGGCTTGCAGGGGTCCCACTATGCCTATTGTCCTCAAACTTAGCTGCACCTCAGAGTCACCTGATGAGATTTAAACACTGGTGATGCTTCCCCTTGTACTTCTGAAGATTCTGGTTTCATTGGTCTGCATTGTGGCTGAGATGTTGGACAGCTGTGCCTGCTTCCCAGGTAGTCTTATCATGCATCGTGGTGAAAACTCTGACTTCAGCTGCATGAAGTGTCAGCGGCCCCATTTCCAAGGCCAGGGTCACATATCGGTTCAAAGGAATCCTCTACAGAGCCTGGTCTGCTGACCCCTTGTCCCCTTCATTACTACTCTGCCTATTCTGTTTCCTGCTAAGCAGCCTGCACATGGGCTTCTGAGTTTTATGGGTCTGCTCCATCCCTCTCTCTCTTTTGCTCTTTTACACTTTGGTATCTAGACTATGTTAATGAGGATGCTTTGGGGTGTATCTTCAGCTAGCTCCTGACTCAACCAGCTTAAAGAAGAAAGAAAGTGCAGTGTTTTACAATATGAGATAAAGCCTGAGATAGTATGGTTTCAAGATTAATTCAGTGACATGCTCAGGATAAATACAGTTTTTGTGTTATCATTCTCATTACTTTTGATAGTCCTTGTGCCAGCTTGGTTCCTAGTTGGGAGGTGACTCCCACGGTCTCCAGGCATCTACCAGAAGATGGAGTCCATCTGGACCTTTTGTCCCATACTTATGGGTGCTTTAATTTTTCTCTGAAGCTCTTCATATACCACAGGTTTACAGACCTCTTCCCATGTGCCACTCTCTGGGCAGGGAACTAGGATTCTCTGGCTCAGACAAGTCTCTATTCTCCCTAGTCAGACAGTCACAGGTAAGAAGAGGTCTGGATTTCTGAAATGCCAAGTATTTTAGGGAAAGGGGAGCCTCTAGAACTTTCCCCTGTGGCTCTCCTTGACAAACTTTCATAAATGATTGAGACCTGCTGTTTTAGCAGTGACTCAAAGCTACTCACAGAGCCTCTGTAATTGGCTGTAATTTTTTATTCTGTGATTGAGGACAGAATTGAGGTATCTAGCAGAGTAGATAGGCCACATGATTTTCACATGTTGAATGATCTACCTAGTGATCTACCATTAGTAGAACTAGGTTTAAATCTGTTCCATCAATTGTGTGTTGCAATCCTCACCAAGTGCCTTGCTGCTGCTAAGCCTCTGGCTTCCTGTCCTTCAGATGGGATTGAAAACCAAACCATCCCTACCTCATAGATATAGTGTTTGTGAGAAAAATGAGATCATGTAGATGAAATGGTACCAAATTGATTTGGCTACCAGTGTGTGATAAATGAATGTAAGCTGCTACCAATACTCTTGGTATAAAAATTTCCCACAAGTATTCCTTTTCATAGTGTGGTTCTGGTCGGAGATGAATACCAGTGTTAGAGATTCATTTGAGATAACTTAGTAACATTAGGGTCTTGTGTTCCTGGTTGTGAGAGCATCTGTAATAGTATTGTACATTAAGTGGAAAGCACTGCTCATACATGTCAGTGATACTATAGAACAATGAATACACTCAGTCTCTTACTGCTGCTCTCACTGAGTTGAGCCCTGCAAACGCATCCTCAGGCACTCAAGGACTGCCAGAATTCTACCCCATATTTTGTAGTCTTTCTGGTAAACCTCTCCAGGCTAGTCTCAGAATTTGGCAAGTATCTTGAACGGGAAAAGGGCCGAGTGTTGGGCTCAGTTTCCTGCGAGCCCCCTCACTGGGATATTGGCTTCTGAAATCTTAAATTTTGTTCTTTCCAGCCCTGTGAGGCCGTCAGTAGCTCTTGTTAGTGCCATTGGCTTTCATCCCAGGCCAAGCCCTGCTTTTCAGCTCTTGCCTTTGCCCGGAATCACCAAAAACATCCATATAGAAAATAGCTGCAGTGTCTCCTGCTGCTTGCCTTAAAATCCTAATGGTGTCAGTAGCTCTCTTGTGCTTCTAAATTGATATTTGGTATGTTTCCCTAGAATTTTAAGTTGATCTTTGCCTTAGTGTTGCTCTACCTTATGCTACTTTGTCATAGAAGAAGAGGCCAAGTGAGCTTTGGTTCTCTGTTTAGGTTCTCCTATTTTCAAGTCTGTGGTGGTCTCAGCAACCCTCCAATATTTTCAGGTAATATTTGGTATTTCCTGTGGATTTATAATTCTTATAATCAGAAATCATTTACTGTAATTACTCTGTTATGTTCTTATTCATGCATGAATTTCTTCTAGAAATGTAAGCAGAAGGGTGTAAAATATTTTATTATGATAAAATTGAAGTATGTAACCAGGTTCCTAGACTAACTAGAAAGCCCTCTCATCTTGCTTCTTGGAACAGTTGAAGGATTATTCTATTCTCTAAAGAGGTGCTTTTGGTATCGCTACCATCATTCCCTATGCTGTATGGACCAGATGGCTTTGACCTTGAAAATGTAAGATTACATATGAAGTCTAGATTCATCCACTCCTGCCCCTAATCCTCTTAGGACAAAACTCCAGAGACAAACATAGGCTGAAACTGCACCAGTCATGAAGCCACTTGAGAACTCGCAGGTGGCTAGCATTTGCTTTTGTTAGCTGTGGTGACCAGCTATGGTGACTAAGGGGATAGAAGACAACAGATTAAGGCCCAATGAGCTGAGGGAGGAGAATCAGTGAATGTATCATAATTAGGACAAAGAAAACACTGCCAGTGAGGAAGGCTTAAGAAGAGAATTACTGTTTTGCATGATGTCAGTAAAGACCAATATGCCAATACACATTTTTTCTCAAGAAACATAACAGATTGCTTTTAAGGTTTGTGTGAAAGTATAAAGGGCTGTCAGGACTCAGGAGTGTCCTGAAGAAAAAGAAGGTGATGGAGGGACTGACTTCAACAAATGCTAAAGTGTCTTATAAAAATTAGAGTAACTGGCGCCATTTGTTGTAAGCTGAGGGATGGACAAATTTCCATTGGAACCGAATGTAGTCTAGATACAAGCCTGTACATACACAAGGCATGGCTTCCACAGAGTTGAAAATGGTTTTAAGTGGGGAAGGAACAGACTGCACAATAATTGGTGCTGAAGCAAATGATTAACCATGTGGAAAAACACAAAACCAGACCCCTATCATGGGTCTTGTCCGAAAAGCACTTCCAAGGGATGAAAGAGAATGCTTTAAAGAACTTTTTGGAGAAGATATAGGTATTTAGGGTCTTACAGTTGGAAATAATTTCTGATATAAAGGGATACACAAAAACCACCAGGAAACAGTTGATCAGTTGAGCCACATCAAAATTTAGAGTTTTGTGTTTCAATCAAAAGAC